GAACTTCTTGGTTTTGTCCTCTTCTTTAAAAATCAAAACAAAAGCATCTGTTAATGTACCTGGAATTTACTTAATTACAGGGATGAGAAAGCGAGCGTTCTCAGCGTTTTCTCTAACAGGCTAACCAGTTCCAACATTTTGAAAGACGCAGACTTTCCCCACTAAAGTAAGATCCTCCGTTTTATCATACAATAATCTCTTTCCTTTACCACGTCTAGTCGTAAGCCTTTTTCACTCTGCCCATCCCTGTTTTTACCTAGTGCCTCTCAGTTAAGTCATTTATATGAAAACAACTCAATAATGAAGAAGTGAGGGAGAAATTGCTTATTATTTATTTTAATAGAATGCACTTAAACACATGATTTTATAATACAAAACCATAAATTATCATTTCAAAAGAGCTCACTAATTATCCTGCACTTACCTTGCCTGTATTACAAGTTATTAAAGTTAGTACAGAGTTACTGGCTAACATCATTAATAAAGTGTTACAAGCAATGCAAAGGGGTTGATTATGCATATTTCTGTATTAGCAATGATAGAATTATTTTACTTCTACCAAAATATATTTTAAAAATCTATTATCCATAAAACTAGAAAAATATAGTATAGTACAAATATATGCACACACATATATCACTCCACAAGAATCAAATACTGTACAATTTAATTTTAAGCTTTAAAAAAAAGCAAGTCCCTGAAAGGAAAAGTAGCAAAAACCAAGAACACCTCTTTTCAAGGATGAGACTCATAAGAAGAGATCTGAGTATTGCCTTAGGGTAGCTGTGAACCAGCTGTCTGACAAGACCCTCTGGAGTGTGGGATTTGGATTTCTTAGAAGTACAGCCCCAAGTAAATGCTAATGAACACTGATTTTCATTTGTGTATTAGTGGTGGTTTTAATAACTCACATCCTCACTTAGTGGGTTCCTAGTAAAGTGATGCTTACTGGTCCCCAAAGAGAAATCTACAGAGGTGAGTGTTGGTCACGAATGGCAACTCTAGAAGGGTTTCCATTGCTGGACCATTTCACGTCCATCAGAAGGCAATGAATTGGTAGCTACTATGTCCCCCCTCGAAGGAACCCTGGGGGTATAGCGAGTTACAGGTCCAGCGGTTAACTGCAAGGTCAGCAGTTTAAAACTACCAGTTCAAAGAAAGGGCTTCCTACTTCTATAAAGATTTACAATCTGGGAAACCCACAGGGGCAGTTCTACTCTATCTCATAAGGTCCCTATGAGTTGGAATCAACTTGATGGCCGTTTGAGTTTGGCTTTGGTCTTTGTTGACCCCTCATCGTGGCTACCTTTCTGACTCCAGCCATAGACACATGCTCCCAGGCCTCTTGCCTGATAGTGAGGGCTAGTTTCTAATTGGTACTCTTAGGCCATGGAGGATAGATAGTGTCCTGGTTGATACAGAGCCTCTCTGATAAGAAGAAAAAGGATGAAGAAACATTTAACTATGCTTTTCTGGTCTCTTCTGTTTTCTGTGCCTAAGTTTGAGTGCATGTTTCATAAGTTCTTATAGTTACCAGTGATTCTACTGAGCTAATGTTCGTATCGTTGTTTAATGTTTTTCTTGTTAGTGAGCAGTTATTTTGAATAGGAGAGCTCAGGGTTTTCCTGCTTGCTGGTATGTGAATTTTACAGCCTCAGAAGTAGACCAGCGTCTTAGCCACAAAGAGCTGTTGAATAGTCTTCAACATACATATAGACATTAATGCTTACATTAAAAAACAATTCTTTTCCACAGATGTACTTTGTCTTATGCCATAGATGCTTGCCTTACTTTGCATACTTTATTTATTTTTTTACTTTGCATACTTTAAAGCAGTAGGTAAATAGCCTTTTTGCAAATTAAATGTTAGATTCCTATTAGACAATGGTTCTAACTGGGGCTGTAGCTGGTTAGTCAAATCATCTGGGATATGCTTTTAAAATATTGTCCAATTCCTTACACGTGTTGAGTATCAGATCAGAGAGAGCACAGAAGCATATTCAAAAAGTTCTGCCAGGGAATCCTGCTCCCAGCCAGACCCTGAACACTAAGTACTACTGCCTTTACTGACAGTTTCAATGGACTGAGAGGGCACTTCTGGAAAGCACGCCCTGTCCTCTCATCCAAACACCAGGTCTCACAAAACCAACGACCAGACTCTTGGCCCACAAAGGAGGTGATGGGAACTGACTAGCCATTTCCCATCCAAATGAATCTCATCATGCCTCTATCTCTGTTCGTGTCAGTGACTACATATGCTAACAGGAACCTGGCTGCCCTCCAGAGATACCACCTCCCATGCAAAACTTTCACGGGCTTGATTTTTTTCATGCACAAATCCACACAAATCCTGGTTCTGCTCCTCATATGTAAAATCCCGATCATCTTTCTCCTTCCCTACTCCAGGTCTGTTGCGCGCTTGCCATCAGACCACAGGACCTTCTGTGACCTTCCTTACTATGCTGAGTCTCCATCTCTCCAACCAATTACTCCTATCATTTTTCTTGGTGACTTTAAACCTGCAATTATCCACTACCACCATCCCAACCACCTACTATGTCAGTAACTGTGCGGGCGGCGCAGGGCTGGGCGAGTGATGTGTTCTCTTGGAACTTACTAGACGGCACCTAACAATGACCACCACCCACTCCACTCCCACAGTCAAACATCAGATATTGTCACTACCCATCCCCCACACTCATA